TAGACCCTGTAGTGTTCCTTCTTACACTTTAACATGTGACAACGGGCGTACGTTCGTATTCTTCTACGCATTGCCGCTTTCTTATTTAACCTACTATTTAGCCTAAAATAACTTAAAGCAACAAGCGCATTATTATCACATACATGTAGGAAATGAAACTATTTATAGGGATCGCGATATTTGTCGTTTCAATGAAATCAACGTCTAGGGCCCATGTCCTCCCTAGTCAGCCGTGACCACGGGACCTGTAAAAAGCCCGAAATGTATATTTGTAAAAACTAAATATTTGAAAAAATTGTTTAATTTTCTATGCGCATGAATCTATTTTTTCTATAAAACTGAAGAAGCGTCAATAACTTCCAGTTTGATATATCAATTTAGTCTCCCTTGAATGGATTAATTATATCACAGATGATACATAATGACGGTTTTGTAATTATGTACTTACATAGTTACTTGGATAATACTAACTATTAAAAAACTAATCAGTGACAATAATGTTGTTAATTTTGTGTTAAAGTGTGCAAAAATAATTATTTTTATACAAATAAATTGCTTTGCGTGTTTATTCACTGGCTGTTAGGCAGTATGTCTAACAAAAAGTTCAAGTTCGTTATTATTAAGTTTATAATATGTTGAATTCATACAAAAAGTATACCCAAGGAGTTACTAATTTACTCATTGATCAAAAACTTTGATATACAGGGTGTAATCGTTAAGAGTGTCCACGCGATTATTCCGTAAATATAAGAGATCGAAAATCTTTAAATTGATATCGAAAGTAATATAATAATCATTAACTTTTTTAAATAAATCTCGAAATATCTAAATTTTAACTTTACGTTAAACGTTAACGTTTCCATATGTTTAATATGACATTCGTAGAAAGGTAAAGCCTTCCTAACAACAGATTTTGAGTACAAAATTTTGTACGTACTTAAAAATAAACATGTTTTTTGTTTTTATTCAATAAAATATAGTTTTATTTATATCTTTATTTATAGCAGTTTCGTTATCTGTACACAAATAGTTACCTTTTAAAGTAGGTCAACTAAAGCCACTCAACGAATGTCATTAAATGTGTGGAAGAGTTTAAAGTTAAAATTTTGGATATTTCTAGATTTATTTAAAAAAAATGTATTGATGTCATTTAACTCATTAGGCAACGTACTTTCGATATCAGTTGAAAGGTTTTTCATATCTCTTATATTTTCGGAATATTCGCCTGGGCACTCTTAACGATTTCACCCAGTATAAAGGTTTTTAGGCAATTGTTAATGCATCAAATTTTATTTGACAACTACGATTGATGATATTCATAGACCATCGTAAATCAGTACATCAATCAATACATTAGGATCCTTACATCATACATCGAATGTTGTATTAGTATTGACCATTCAATTGTAAATGATGGAGTCAATGTACTATCACCAAGTTATAAATGCAGACCACGAAATAGCTTTAAAATGGCCTACGACCGATATTTAACAATAATAATAAAGAGCTTTATTTATCTATACGCTGACATAATAGTTTAGCTTTCAATAACGTTGTCTGGTTACATGTATTATGCAGATAAAAATGTAACATAGGTAATACTTTGTATTGTCATACTTAACGATGTAGAATTCTAATATTAAGTTTATTGAATATCACGATGTTTTACTACATAATATTCAATTATTAATATATTAATACAAAGATCGAACACAAATAAAAATTCGTTCAATCCGGTTGGATTCGAACCTGCTCCCAATACGGATCAGCAAACACGAATTTCTTTATGCGCTTGTTGCAGATCTTTCTTTTTGGCTTCAATGACTTTTTTGCCGTAATCGTAGTAAATATGAACTCTTTTTAAATTACTCGAAAAATACGTTTGGTTTCGAGTTGTCCACGTGATTTTTAACTCCAGTAACTACGTATTCAGGTATTTTTTTGTTTGAGAAATTTACTTCACAATCATGATCTTTATAAAATTATTGTATTATTTGCATAATGGTAATGATTTTTGCAATGTACATTGAAATCAAGCAGAATCATTGTATAGGATTGTGTCAACAATAATATATATCAACTGCACAAATAACTTAGTACGATAATACTTCGATATATTGTTATTACAATTGATGTTACAATTTGAATCTGTCAAAAGATTCACGATGATTCATTTCCAGTGAATGGTAAATAATTATGGTAATGCAATTCCACGTTCATTATTATGTCCCCAACAAGGACAATATGAAAATATTTTAGTAGTATTTCGTTTCGTCTCTTATTAGTTGGCTAGTATATAATTTTGTTCTATAGAAAATATGACATGTAACAAACTTATTATGCGCGTCTACAGTTTTTTGTTTCTGACGATTCTTAACGACCTTCTTAGCAATTTCTTGTGAATCTCTGTATTATATGTACGTATCATATGTATGAAAAAAGTGGTAACTTCCAGGAATTGAACTTAAAACTAAGTTTATAAACAGAATTGGAAGATGTATGTTATGAAAATTCTCTGTAGGGTGGAAATTTATGTTTCTTACATATTGAATTATTAATAAAAAATTGCCGCTATTTTTGTCAAAAAAAATGTTGATTTAAAAAGATACACTAGACTCATTTTCAGAGAGTCATGAGTGTGGGTATATCAAAGATCAAGTATGAATCATGGGCAGTAAAAACTTTAGCCTGCCGACCTTCTGGGAAGTGCATAGGGGCAATATACGTGACGGGAACAGAAATAACTTTAAAACTTTGTATTTTCGACTGGCAGGCCACTTTGTGGTTTCTGTGGGCAGCCTTAAATGTTTTCGTTTTGTTACGTGGAATTAAATGTTTAAAATACTCGCAATGCCTCTTGAACTCGTTTGTACTTTTAGCTGTAGTGAAATTTTGTGTTCATTGTCAAACAAAGAATTTTGTAATTGGCGATGAATGATTAAAAACAGGCGCCATTTTTAATGGTATAACCGTCAACGGAAGACTAAATTATTAATGCATCCATTACCTTGTTGTAGAAATCGATTGTTTTTAATAAATAATCGCCACGTTTTGTTGCGCAGACATCCACAACCAAGCTTCATAAATAAGTACATAAATCACAGATGCGTTTCAAAGACGAACCAAAATTGTGGCGCCATTACACAATAGAATCATTGACCTCCTAATTTTAATCGAAAATTAAAATCTGAATGAGAAAGTTTCGTATCGATAATTTAATCGAACGCGTCCCTATCATGGGCATCTTGAGCCGAAGGGAACCGGTTCTACAATCGAGATTCAACCGGCTATCGTCGATATAAAGTTATTAACAATGAATTAAATATTTACAGAATCGTGCTGGCTGCATTCGTTTATTTTTGCATGACAATTAAATATGTATTCCACTCCGATACATGTAAAACGTGGGGTTCATTTTCGATCATTTGCATGAACCTTCAGGGCACGCTGTTCTTTTATTCATGTTGTTCAATCTGGCATTTCTCGTTTGGGAACCCGTTGTTGCTCTAATGGTGCCAACAAGATCTTTTTTATTCGGCTGACATTTCGTTTCTAGTGAATTCAACGCGACAGCAATAATAAGCTGCATTGCGATTTGTGTTCGGTACATGTTATTCACGTTATCGATCACAGGACCACGTTTTTATATTGTCGTGAGAAATAATAATCGTTTCCACGAAATTTGGCGTAATTTATAGGAAATCTTTCCCTAACCCTCTTCAGAGTATGCAAAGGAAAGCGTCCTAGGCACCGACCTGATTCTCGGAACATATTTCAGCTTGTTTTACTCAAGTGGGCGGCACCGTCTGATCGTAGATTATGTGAGTCAGATGATATGGGTGTGGGAACTTATATTACTTTAGACATGTGAAATATATGGGCCAGTAACACGTTTATCTCCAAACTTAAGTACATGATTCATATCGGAAACGCTATCTGGACGAGGCGAGCTCGACTGCCTTAAAGTTGGACGAAAGCCAGTGCCTAAAATCGGACTGCGAACATGATTCAACTATGAAGTTGTGTTTATACTCCATATCTTTTATTGCATTACCGAGCTCAGAGTTCTCTACGTGACTACGTTGAGAACGATACGGTCGCTCCAAACGTGGCTTATGCGCTGCGGGCTGAACCGAAACGGCCCAAAATGCCCGGTAATCGCTGCTGCGATGGCAGATAAGCGCAAATGAATATGTAACGCCCGTCCTCCCACGACCACGCACAATAAAACGAGCCTGACCCTATAAAAATAAAAACGAGCAATTAATATTGTTTATTCGCGGCCGTTACGGAGCTGCGACAGTAACAAACGATGTCTGCATGGATTAATGCGATGCGCCTCGTGGTGCGGCGAGAACCGCGGGCTCAATCGCTGCCTACGACCATCGCGAACACTCCAAAAGAATCCGGTTGTGTAATTCCCTATGTAACGGGACTTCCAGTTATGATAATCGCAGCCGAATTTCACGAACATCTTACGACTCGAAAGTAGATTTAATTTAAGCCTACCATAAAGCGAATCAGTTGATTTTAAATGGAAATTGCGCGGTGGAAATTACGGTTATGAAATTGTGGTTTATGGATTATGGATGCGGATCGGACTCGATGCATGCTAATGGATTCCAATTGAATTAGCGATGTGATTTCCTATTGGTTGCTGAGCGTGTCGCAGGGGAGCATTATCGGCAATCGGACAGGTTCCGGTTAAGTGTCGTGATTAATTTGTTCCCGCAATCGATTAATGTCACTACCGATCGGGGCCAGATAAATAAGTTGCGTCACCTGCCCCACGGCCTTGCCGCGGCAATGCCCAGCTTCCGAGGGTGCTGCGGTCCCCGCCCGAAGCCCTAATCTCCTGAAACTTTTACGAGCCGACGCATGAATAATTCCCGAGAGGAGCAGCTATCGATCGCACACGTCGAGGTTTTTATTTATACGGCGCGGGTGGGCGAGGCGCATATTAGTAAACAGGCGCAGGCGCGGCGGAGGCCGTCACTTACCGACTTGTAGCACGTTTTCCACGCAGCCGGCCTCGAGCAGCTTGAGGCCGCGGCAGAAGGCGATGTTGCGGTGGTCGTCGGGCGGCGCCCTCGCCAACGACGAGTACATGCAGATGTCCCGTTCATCCCGCGGGAAGGACCAGTACACGACACGCCGCTGGACCGGTTCTGGAATCCGTTCATAGCGCTCCTCGATCCGCTGGAACGGGATCGTTGCGGCAACTATCTTTGCAGTGATATCAAGCAGAGTTGCAGGGGCGCGCAGCCGGCAACATGCGCGCGGCGCACACGCGGACATAACGCTCGTTCGGCCGCTCGGCGCGGACTGGCGGCGCGCGGCGCCCTCCCCTCAGCCTACTGCCGCCCCCACCACGCCTCTCGCCCGCCCGGGGATGCGGCCCGAATCGACACACCGCGATAAATTATTCATTTGGCAGGCATAATGTGCGATATATTATTAAAAGTTGGCATTTTTGTGTTGTTCTCCGGAGGCTATGAATGAAATCGATTGCAATGTGGAAGCTCTTATCATTTATTTAACTTGATTGCACGGATATCAGAATCATTGCAGCTCGAAGCGCTATAATTAATTTACCATTTTGCTTCTCGCAGCAAGTTTTTGTTGCAGTTTTCGAACTTCCCCTCAACGTACTTATAATAATACTCGTAACATATTAAACTGGTACATAAAGTTTCTTCTCCAAAAAGTTTATTTATTTATTGTTTCTTCGGATACCCATGTTGTGATTACTTTTTTCAAACTCCAGATTTTATGAAAAAATAATAGGCAGAAAGTTTAATAAAATTATATTCTGGAGTCGTCCTAATCCATTGAGGGCGCGCCTCCTCGCATTACACAAACGAAGGAGAAAGGCTGTCGGTCGAGGCGGTGTGGTGCGGGGCGGGGTGCATTAACAGCTGATGGCGGCGGGGGCGCGCCGCCGAGGTGGGCGGAGGGGGGGTCGACGTCAGGTGTCCGACCTGCCGTCAGCTGAGCGCAGCGCCACAGCCGCTGAGCGCGCGCTACGAGCATTGACCTTTATTTGTTTATCATTTTTTATGTAAACATTACCAATACCCTTCAGTTTGTAAGCCAATGGACAATTAATACTGTGTTATTATTTTTTATATTTACCCTTACACTTTAGTATGCGAAAATAGAAAAAGTTCCATAAACGAAATGTTATTGCGTACCCAATAAAGTTGGAGATTTAATCGAGAACAAATTCATAATATTTTACAATTCAATACTTTAATAAGTTGCGTGTGTTCTAGTTTTTACCGTTAACATGCAACAGTGACTTGGTGGTTACACTTCCGTGCACGCTTACAACTTTTTCTGCAACTATGACGACTCAACTAATTACAGCGTATTACGTAATTTAAACAAAAACAATTTTCTACTACCTGGTAGAAATCATTACATCTCTTCATAACTTATTCCGAAATCGTTTAGAAAACTTTAGTAACCTTGAAACACAAAGCAAAATCTGTTGAAAACCCAATCTTAACAAAACCGGTACAACGCTTGAAAAATGTAGTAGCAAAAATAATCCCCAAGTCAAGCGCATAAAGCGCTGACTTGTTCCAAATATCTGTGTCTCGGGCGAAGACCGGCACCGAGAGGAAATCCCTGCTTGTATATCTACAGACATACCTATTTATACACACTGATATAATAGCAAATTACAACAGCTGATCTTATTCATGGCCTTTAATAATTTTTAAATTATTATTTTTTCTGTCAAATGCCTTCGGCAGGTAAGACATTTGTATCATCATCGCCACTTCCGAATAAACCTATTATGTGTAATAGGTTTATTGTGACATTAGTGTATCCGAAAAGTAGAAATTGCTATAACCGTTTGGCTGTTATCTAACACTCCGAGAAGGTGTTACAATACCGACAGGAAGAGTCAGAGTGATCTAGTTGCGTTACCTTTAATTTAACCTATCCTTGGTATCAGCCAATTGTTTTTGTTAAATGAAAAAATTAATACGAACTACATGAAAAATGTTGCCTTTTTTGAAGTTTTACGACTCTCCTAATTAAGCATAAAAAAGTTATCGACTAATCTTTAGAATCTTTAAATCTCTCTCCTAAAAAGTTGCCAATATTCAGATGCAACTTTATTACACAAAGTGGTATAAAATTTTTTCAATAAATAGTTTAATTTTTTTTCGTGATACCAAGTCACGGGACGAACAAGTAGTGCGCCTGGTGGTAACGACACGCTTGTCTAGATAGAATAAACGCAGTGCTGTTCAGAGCTTTACGCTAAGATCTGATGGTCACTGCCACAGCGCCCGTCACCGTAGAGAATTCCCCTTTGCCTGTAATTGCACCAGCACCCTTCAAAACCGAAACGCAGCAATGCTCATATTATTGCCTGGCGGAAGAACCAGGTAAGATGGCAGTCCTGCCCCTGGACGAAGTCTTTTACAAGGAACTCTACTGCTACTACATAAATTTCTAAAATACTATGTAGGCTGATGAAAAATTCCGGAATTTGTATACTAAGGCACCGTTAGTTAGATGCTGGTTCTATATGGTGGATACCAAAACACCAATTTAGCCTTAGAAAACTCTAAGGCACAAACTTTAATGCACGTTAATTGAGGCTCTACGAATTTACTTTAAAATTAGGAGTTATTCCCTGTATTATAACACTCTTTCAAAACAGTTAATAAGGAAAATAGAGACATAGTTCCAATTTACTAATATAGTATTCTGAGAATGTACCCACGTCGATTAGAATGAGTTGGCCCAATGATTCATTCATTTGTTTCAGTGGGAGGACTTATATTACCTTGAGAAATTTTCAACCTTATTCTGAATGAAATAAGGCCTCTGCGAGGGGGTAAACTAAGGCACTATTCAGTCCACCCCACCAAGTGGGCTTAGAGGGGGTGGAAACTTTAGACTTTTCCGCAGGTCATATTTTCTTTCATGACAAAATGGGGAATTTTCGACAAAAACACTGAAGTAGTAATTTTATATTTAAATATTTATTATTATATTTTATCGTTTGTAAGGAATTATAATATGAATAGAGCTGGCGATAACTCTACCAACAAGAGCGTAGTTTATAAGAAGAAAAGGAATGGTAAGTAAATCGGGATGGGAAATAATCTTGAAGTGCCAAACGTTTTTCATAATTTATTCTTCAACTGATTTTTTTTTTCAATTTTAAAGTGTCAAATACGTAATTTAATAATAGCGATTTATACGTTAGCTGTGATGAAGCGAATAATAAGTAAAGCACTAAATATTGCATGTTGCTAAGGAAAACGAAGCAGCTTTTTAGTAGCAGTAGAACTCCTTGAGAACGAGTTCGTCCAGGGAAGTACTGGCACCTTAACTATTTCTGCCGCCAAGCAGTGACGTGAGCATGCGTTCCGGTTTTGGGTGAAGGGTGGTGAAATAACAGGCACATGGGACTTGGCAATATATGTCTCAGGGTGACAGACGCAGTGGCAATGTCCCTCAGATCTTTGCGATTTAAAGCTCTGAGTGGCACTGCTACTGTTTCGGACAGTCATGTAGCTTACCATCAGGCGCTCGACTTGTTTGTCACGTCACTTGATATTATAAAAAAAAAGAAAAGACTAGTGCTTATACAGTACACCCGCTGATTAAAATAGAATTCTCTGAGCATTACCTTAGCCAGCTACATGATGCCAACAATACTTACATACACGTATTCTAACTACAAAACGTAAAGGTGTTGTTACCAGTTGTTACATGTAGAGAATATAAAATTTATACATTTAATATTGAGTTCTTAGGTTTTCACGATTCTTACTAATTGGAATTAATACTATTTTTCGGACTACATATCGTAATGTTTTTCTAAACAAATCAACGTTCGGGCTCTTTACAGGTTGCATGGTCACTGACTGACTGATATACGATTTAAATCCAGAAAATAAGTTACAATTCCAACGCGTAGCAATCGCCACAGCCTAAGAACTCGGCATCTTACTTAATATTAGTATATGGAGTATAGTATCAAGAAACAGAATTTGAAACTTAATTGTCGGAAAAAACAAATATACGCGATTTATACATAAATTTTAATAATCTTTCACGGGAAGTAAGTAATCAGTTTTTCATCGATTCTGAAAAAAAAAAATACTTTTTTAGTTCATATTATTGTATTAACAGAGTGATATGTATTTCAATGTATCATTCCTGTATGAAATGTGAACCACTACATTAAATAATAACCTTACAAGTTTTCGTTATCCAGAAATATTTCAACTTGGCATCGAATTTCACAACTTCTGGCAATGTAGAGCTGTGATTTTTTCCAGTGGGGGTATGGAGGGGGTGTCAGACACAGCTGCCCGTTGGATTGAGTGCTTGATTAAAAACCAGTCAGGGTTTTAAATGTCAAAAGCAAATTCGTGGGATATTATTGGTTATGTTAGATATAACATAAAAAGTAGCTTTATTGCTGTGCTATACAGGGTGTAACAGCAAGGTGTAGTCATATTTGAAGGTCGGATTCAGTTAATGGTATGAAACTATTTAGCAAAGTTGTTTTAGTACAAACTACGTTATTTATGGAAATTTCGCCATGAACAGTTTCGATCAGCTGATGTCATTTAACGAAAATAAATAGTCACATCACATCTCTATTGAGTATCATAATACAACCAAATTACGTAACTTGAAAAAATTGTGAAATTCAGGCATGTTATTGTAAATGATAAAGTACTTAATGCCATATTCTTATTACTATGTTATAATTTACTAAATTTATTATTATTTTATTCATGTAATATGCGTGTGAACATTTAATGAAAAATAAATATTATCGATTACTTTGCCAAAATACACTAGTTCATAATAAAACTATTATTTAAAACTTAGTACATAATAACGTAATATGGTTTCGTTAACTTCATATCTTCAAACATACAAAATACACAAATTTCCATTTAATATCCATTAATAAAACTAATGTCCTCTAAAAAACACATATTTAAAGTTATCTCTGTTTCTTTTTACCATACGCATTCATCTATTGTATTTTAATGAATGAAATTTGTCTCTTTCTATCCGTCGGTACTGTTCTAACGCATGGCGGCGTCGGTATGTTTCTTCTAACGCATGACGCAATATGACGCAATTATCCGACTAATACTTCGCACCCTTACAATGAAAGCGACCCAAATCAAAAAATTAAAAAATGAGTTTATACCGTAAAACCATCTTAAAAAAATATTTTGTTACATTAGTCACACTGTGGTGAAGATGAAATTGTGCAATTAAAGCTCGAATAGCACTGATTCATAAAGGTCCCTTTCATTTTGTTCTTTCAGTTTAAAAATTCTACTCCCGCGTCGAAATATTAACGC